TAAGTTTACGTCAGATGGGGAAAAACTTACTTGATCGGCCATGAGTGAATACTTGCGGAGGTAGTGACGTGAAAGTTCAACTTGCGGACAAAATACCACTTGCCGAGAGAAATTTTCTTGGAGAGAGAATTGCTACATGTAAAAGAAAATGGTTTGAAATGGTTTGGGGGAAGTTTCCTTTTGATTATGATTGATATATTGAGTTGGAACCGTGACTCCATTGGTGAAATGAGATTTCTGGGCAAGTTTGGAGTTGTGCAGTTCAATCAGTCGCTAAGGCTACTTTGTTCGCTAGTTTAAACTCACAGTAAAATTCACGATAGCTAAGACTACTTTGTTCGCTAGTTTAAACACACGATAAAATTCACGGTAGCCAAGGCTACTTTGTTCGCAAGTCTAAAATTATGGTAAAACTCAAGGTAGCCAAGGCTACTTTGTTCGCTAGTCTAAACTCATGGTAAAACTCAAGGTAGCCAAGGCTACTTTGTTCGCTAGTTTAACTCACGATAAAAGTCATGGCAGACTCTGTTTGATGCCTTGTTGAGTTTTTCTTCGTTTGTTGTTTTGGGTTAGGTTCGAGGCCTTGGTTTAGGGGATTGCTTTAGATATGTTAAGAAATGGTTTTTGAGATAATTAAAGTGGTTTAACACCATTTTTATGGTGGTTAATTCAGGCGTTTGGTTTGAGTATGTTTAGCCGTTAGGCTTGGAGTGAAGTACGAATTATCAGGTGAGTTCTCTTACACTAAATCTATGTTTCGTAAACATTTTTAAATGCTTTTGAGCGCTGATTATGGGTTTTATCATTGATGACTTGTTATGCAAATCCTATCTTTTGCATGTTTGATAAAATTAAGCTAATATGTAGCTATGTGGAGTGTGTGAAGTTACACATCAGGCATGGGGTACCTTGAGGTAGCCATATCTCTTGGGAGTTGTGATTCATGTGCCTTGAATTTGTTTCTTGAGCACATTGGATAGGCACCTATCAGGAGCCTGATATTAAATTTGTCACAGGAATATGTGACGGGATTGCTACAAATGTTGTGCAATGTCCATGCGAAGGGAATGTGCTCTTATGATTATTTGAATATGACATTTCTATTGTTGGGTTATTATTTTTACCATTATTTATAAATATTGTTATCTATTGAAGGGAATTCACTTGACCATATGGTCTAACCCTCGCTTTTCAAAATAAAACTATTTTCAAGAAAGTGTTATTTTGAAAGCTCATCCAAGGGTAAAAGGGAAGAAATGACTCACTGCAGAGATGGCATGGCATAAAGAGTGTAGATTAGTCTACCATTAGATTTGTAATAGTTCTCGGTTGTAGAGGTTGATTAACCGTTGCTATTCTTGAATCTTGTTACCTTTGGGGACGGTTTTTATGTTAACTAGAGGGGATCTGGTTGTTCTTCACATTTAACCAGAGGGCCTCTAGTTATATTTAAAGTTCATTTTTCTAAGTAACTCATTTCTAGTTAAGCGAACGAGAGGATCTGGTCATTTAGAGGGCCTCTGGTTGGTCATGTCTTTTTATTGACTTGCTTCTGGTTAGCCTATACTTTTATGTTGGCTATCTTAAAGTATTTTGCATTAATTAAAGTGGTCCAGAGAGGCTCTGTCTTGTCTTGAAATTCTGGTTGAATTTGAAGTTCGAGACCAGAGGGCCTCCGGTTGGTCTTGCCTTTTTATGAAACCTTGTTTTTAATTAACTTTAAGTGGCCTTGTCTTAGGTTTAGCCTTGCTATGCTTGATGGACCAGAGGGGCTCTGGGTGGTCTCCCACATTGTGTTGCGAGGAGTTGAGAATGTCGCACCAGTGTGATGCGAAGAACTGAGTGGTTTTGCTCTACGTGATGCGAGGAAGTTTTAATTATAAATCCTTGTTTGATGTGATAAGTTCTAATATGGGATAATTTTCAAGATACTATATATTTGATTGTGATACTTGAGTTATGATGATTCAAAAAGTTATATATTTGTTATAATTACGAATATGCTTTTATAAACTGTTTTGGTGATTTTTCACCCTGTAATTGCAAGAAGAGATTTCTCACTAAGACCTTAAGTTTAAACCCTCGTTTTGTGTTTAAAAAATGTGCATTACAGGTCGGACACTATAAAGGGATAAGGGAAAGGGGAAAATGTGAGATTTTCCTCATATGCTTACTTGGATTATGGAGGAGCTGTTATCTGATGATCTTGAATACTTGTGATTTATGCAAATGATGTATAAAAATGATGTTGAAAATTTTGTTACGTACTTTGAGATGTAGTTTGTTGTATTTTTTTTGGGACCGAATGTGTACTATGATGTTTCTCTTTATGTGAATTATATGGTTATATACAAATGCACATGGATCTTTGAGCTGCGTGTTCTATTAGAAGCATCTGCTTCTTTATCCTCAATGTCTTGAGGTCTTTCATTTTTTACAAAATAATTTGTAAAAATCTGTTTGTCTCTCAATCTCTCCCTCTCTTTTTGTAGAGGTGTTACACACACACACACACACATACACACATATATATATCGATTGATTTTGATGATTTATTTTTTTAATTGTCACGTAATTAAAAATATGTATGTATTGATGTAAATAAAATTATATATAGTTCTATATATTTGTGGATTCAAATTTCTTCTATAAAATAATGAAAATGGAATTAAAAAAAAGTAGAAAAATGAAAGAGTTAACAATTAATGTGTTGATTGTATATTAAAAATAAATCAAAATAATAAGAAAAAAGATAAATATGATAGAAAGCTTCTCATTGAATAAACTTTTTGTTCTTCCTTTAATATATATATATATATATAGGGGAGCTTTCAAATAAAAACCACTCAATTTGTAAAAACCGTGAAAACCTCATTCAACCAATCATAATTTTTTATTTTGTTCATTTTTTTTGTAATTATGAGAGGTTGACTAATCATTTTTATTATGTAGGGTGTTAATCATGGATATTATCATGTTCATTATTTTAATTTTAAAGAAATACATGAAACCGTTTCATTAAATATTATATCAAACAATTTCATAACCATATATGAAACAAATTCATCAAAAAAGTATTATATGAAACAATTTCACAAGATTAAACAATTTCATAAGATTAAACAATGAAATCGACGTATGAGGGTGGTTTGTATGATTTTTACAAATGAGGGTGATTTTCATTTTAACGCTCCTCTCTCTCTCTCTCTCTCTCTCTCTCTCTCTCTATATATATATATATATATAGATAGATAGATTGCTATTTTGGATTTTTGGGATGTTACAATTTATTGGTTTTTCTTGGTATAAAATTGACACCCTAAAAACTAGTAAATAATTAAACAAGTAGATACCGTGGTTCAATTGTTCAAGACTTTTAAATACAATGTATCAACCAAGTTTTCATACTTGGTATAGTACTACCAACCAACTGCAAATGATACCGATTAAATTGGTATCGATTTAATCGATACAATTGATACATATATTGTTCAGTTTTGTTTGATTCAAATTTACCACCCTTAATAATTAATAAATTTAAATTATTATTATGAAGATACGTATTTGTAGCATGATGTGAGCAGCACTGGGGTTGCTACTTTAAAATCCATGTATGTATGCATATATATGTGGTGACTCGTTACATCTCATATGGACCATGGGAATTCACATGCTCCATCAACATAATGAACACTTTTCGGTCGACATTTATATTTGATAATATATATATATATATATATATATATTATATTCTTAATCCTTAAAATATATATCACTTTATATATATATATATAGAGTTTGTTTCAAATACAACCTGTCGTATTTGTACAACCAATGCAATCCAATAAATTGAGATATTTATGGAAATGATGAGAGTTCATTTATTATGATTTGAATATTTATGGAAAATGAATATGATTCATTAATTATGATCAATACTTTATATTAGAAAACAATCAAAACTTCTATGAAATCACATATTAATCAAATRAAATGGASGGTTGAGATTGAGTTGTATTGGTTGCACAAATGTCAAGGATTATATAATAACCAACCTCCCCTCTCTCTCTCTCTCTCTCTCTCTCTCTATATATATATATATATATATATATATATATATTATATTCTTAATCCTTAAAATATATATCACTTTATTTCATTCTCCAAACGAGGAAAGTAGTTGCTCCACTTTGTGTGTGAGTTATGATATGTATCATGTTATATAGTATATATATTTAGTGGGTGGTCCCATGGCTTAATACTAAATAATATATAACCTCATAATTTTTTAACTGATTTAAGAAAATCAAATATGAAAACTTTTCACATCAAATTACATAACTGCTGAAAATGCTCCAACTATTTTACTTGTACCTTATGTGACACGTAAAATACCATAAATCCATTCGTGTTTGTTTGAACATAAATTTGCATTCAAGTGATCAATTATAAGTCTATTTTTGGATAGAAAAAGAAAGTAGTATGAGCTGTTTAACAATTGCAGAATGATTAAGTGGTCAGAATGATTAAGAGGCTCTCATGATATAGTGCAAAATAAAATATTATTGTATGGTAATTGTTTACAATGAAATTAGGACGCTTAATAGTCAAGGGAGACCCACGATACAAAATCATTCAGAAGGTTTTAAAAACCATTAAGAGACAAACTTTTTTTTTTTGCCAAACAAGATTTACCTTCTAACGATTCAGAGACTGCCTCTTGATTGAACTATTAAGAGGTAAACAAACAACCCGTTAGCTAAAACACAAAATACAACCCTAGATACAGTTATAGAGAATTAGATACATGCATTAACTGGTTCTAGGTTTACAAGAAACTGGTTTAACATTCAAAAAGCATAAGTAGAAAAGAGTAGCGTTGAGAATTAAATATATGAAACAATTAGAAGTCATCTTTGTGTATAAATATACAAGAAAAAGAAAGCAAATATATCTCCCAACTATTCCCTTCTTTCTTCTTTTGTTTCTCATATTCATCAATGGCGACCACTCCTGGATATCTCACTGACTGGCCATGGAAACCACTTGGAACCTTCAAGGTACTATACCACCCTCCTCCATTGCACCACCACCTTCTTCTTCTTCTTCTTCTCTCTCTCTCTCTCCATACGTTTCCGATAATATTTCAGATATTATACGTAAGCAGATATTATACGGTTCGCAGTTTTGACAAAATGATTGTGTTCATATGTTGTTTAAAAAGAGAGAAGAGTTTAAATGGATAATTGATGTTTGAAGATCGACTTCTCTTCCTCCTTGCGTTTATTTATTTACAAATAAATCATTTTCAACCATAAGAGTCGTGCCAGATTGGTTTGAGCTTGACTTCAAAGGTCAAAAGTATCAGGAGATCTCATGTTCAAATCCAAGTAGAAATAAGAATCTTCTTGTGGCCATGAAAGTTCAAATGCGATGACTCCAGACTATCTGCAAAGCAAATGGTCGTTCTAAGGATTGGTCGGTTCGCATAGTTGATATCCAGTTCATAATTTATTTTTTCTTTCCTAAAGGAGTAAACTATTATAAAAAAAATCCAATTTCCACATCATCTGGTTACAAAATTATGGTAGATTGAGTTTTTAATAGTAAAATTAAATAATTATGAAAAAAGAACAGTGAATATTAATTGTTGGGTTCATGTGTCAGCGGTACATACCTGCTGTCTTTAATATTTACCTTTTCTTTTTGAGTTTTCATATTTTACTTCATAAATTTACTGAGACACAATTTGGTAAAATCGATGCCCTAAGCCCTATTAACTATATATGAACTTGGTAATTATAAATCTATTATTTCATGTGTCTGTTATTCTAATTCTATATAATATTTTTGGACTAACTTTTAATGGAATGGTAGTATGTGGTATTGGCACCATGGGTGATCAAGTGTACATACGACTTCATGACCGCGGATGCAAACAAGAGGGATTATGGTGTAATGTCGATTTTCCCCTTTCTCTTGGTTCGAATGCTCAACAATCAGTTTTGGATTTCACTCTCTCGCTACAAAACGGCCAAAGGCACGAACAGGATCGTGGATAAGACGATTGAATTCGAACAAGTCGACCGTGAAAGAGACTGGTATGTTCTCTATCTTCAGCTTTTTAGGTAAAATTTTATCTTCAAGTATGTATAAATATAATACGAAGTTGAGTGTTGAGGTGACGAGGTCATTCGATCTATGAGCATGAAGATAAAAGAAAATTACTAAATTGTCCTTGTAATTGGTTTAGATTTTTGTGAAACCTCATGTATTTATGCATATACACTTCACACTTCACTTTTAGGCTCCATCAATAGATTTTATGATCTAGATCAATGAGATCATTAATTGATTCTTGAAGAAAACAAAATCGAATAGATCAATAATGACCACAATACCCTTCCTACTAACCAAGTAGGTCAAAATTGACGAGAGATTAATTAATGGCTTGAAAAACCAGTGACGTGTTTATATCTTTAAGCATGAAAAGATAAATATGAACCATAAGGGTGGTGCCTGATTGGTTTAAACTTTGCTCCAAAGGTCAAAAGTATCAGGAGGTCCCAGGTTCAAATCCAAGGAGGAATAAAAATCTATTTGTGGCCACGAAGGTTCAAATGCGGTGACTCTGGGCTATCTGCAAAGCAGGTGGTTGCCCTGAGATTAGTCGGCTCGCATAGCGGGTTGGATATCCACGTTAATAAAAAAAATTGAAAATTACTATATAGTCCTTGTAATATTGGTTTAAGATTTTTTTACGAACATTTGATGTAGTTGTGCGTATACAACTTAATCATGTAGTCTTGATGAATAAAGATGCAACGGAACCCTTAATTCTTGAAGAAAATCAAACTGAATGATATGGTAAATGACGAGAATGCCCTTGAAAATGAATAAGATATACTTCATCATGTAGTCTCCAATTGGCAAACATTATGATCGATCAAAGATGCAACGAAACCATTGATTCAATTCTTGAAGAAAAGGAAACCGAATGAAATATGAAATGACGAAAATACCATTGCAAATGAATAATTAAGAGTTGGGTTTTGTTAAATTTGTGTTTGTGTGTTGCATTGCAGGGATGATCAAATACTATTCAATGGGATATTGTACTACTTGGGGTATTATTCGTTAGATGGAGCCAAGCAATTGCCTCTTTGGAGATTAGATGGAGTTATCATTGTGACGTTGCTACATGTTGGAGCCGTGGAATTTCTGTATTATTGGCTTCATAGAGCCCTCCACCACCATTACCTCTACAACCGTTATCATTCTCACCATCATTCGTCCATCGTCACCGAGCCCATCACATGTAACACACACACACTCTCTCTTGCACACACACACACACACATATATATAAGGCGGTTTTTGTCATTACAACAAACTAAACGTATAAGAACATCATTTTGCAACGCTAAGGCATTGTTTGATAAAAATAAGCTAGCTAATTTTCTAGGTATACGTTTGGATGCACCATAAGCTAGCTTACTGAAAGACTACATGAAGTAGCGTTTTAGGAGCTTATTGTGACTTTTTCCAATTATCTCTCATTAATTAATACTAACTATTATTTATCAATATTAATAATAGGTAAATATTGATTATTAATAAATATTAAATAAAAATAATTATTACAATATTAATAAATATTAAATAAAATAAATTATTGCTATATTTATAAATACTAGAAGAGTACTCGTGCTATGCAACGAGATATATCTTGATTTTAGTATTTCATATTATTCTGTCTCTATAGATATTATAATAAGGTTTATATAGTTTTGAGAAAGAGATGATATTTTTAATTTTGAATAAAATATAAATTTAAAGTTATCATAAAATTTTGAACATAAATATATTAATATTAGTATCAAATTAAGTACTTGAAAGTTCTTGTTTTTTTAGGTAATTTCTTTAATTCAATTTTTTTATAATTTAGTTTAGATTTAATTACAAAGTAATTTATTTTTAATTTAATAATATAATTTTTTTAAGGATAATGATTAAGTATTATGTTAAAATTCAATGATTATATTAATTATATTTTAGATTTTTTATATTTAATATAAAATATTTATCTTGTTTTTTATTATATTATCTGCAGTTAGTTATACGAATTCAAACATGCAGCTTTAATAAGTTGTATTTGCGCATAGTTTATTTGTAATCTTAAATTTTAAGTAATATGCATAAATAATCAGTACTTCATGCATACAAAGTGGTTTTTAAAAAAAATTTAAATGCTTTATAATATAGTGTAAATATACTAGAAAAATACTCGTGCAATGCAGCAAAAACATCTCGATTTTAATATTTTGTTTTATTCTGTCTCTGTCCATGTTATAGTATGATGTTATGTGGTACTGAAAAAACGATAATGTTTTTATTTTTTGAATAAAATATAAATTTGAAAATATTATAAAATTTTGAAAAAAAAAAGTGTCGATTTTAGTATCAACTTAAATATTTAAAAGTTCTTGTTTTTTATGTAATTTTTAATTCAATTTTTATTATAATTTAATTTATGTGTAATAATAAAGTCATTTATTTTTTGCTTAATAATTTTTTTTATAAAAGTAATAATTAATATTTTGTTAGAATTCAATTATTATTCTGAATATATTTTAAATATTTTATATTTAAAATAAGATACATATCCAGTATTTGATTATATTTATCTGCAGTTAGTTACATAAATCAAACATGGAGCTTTAATAAGTTGTACATACGCATAATATTATTGTAATCTTGAATTTTAAGTAATATATACATCAATAAACGGTAATTAATACATAAAAAACAGGTTTAAAGAATTTTATCAAATGCTTAATAATATAGTATAAATTAACTATTAATTAATTTTAATTATACATTATGCATTATACAATATACATTAA